TCTTGCAGGATGTGAGTGTGTGGTTCTTAGATGGTCCGCCGGCCCTGCTCTAGAGACAGTGCAGCTCAAGGAGTCAAATGGTGTTTGGAGCGTTACTTGACCAAGAGAGTGGGAAAACCGATAATATTTGTATGAAGTTGACGTGTATCATCCAACTAAGGCACAAATTCTGAAATGTTTAGCTGGTGACCTTTATGCTAGAGGGTATGTGGCTGCGCGTATTTCAGTTATGTAGTTCAGGGAGAGGAACTTTCCGCAGAAGAAAAAAGTTCAGGGAGAGGAAGAAACTAGCTTGTTGTTTATTTGATCAGCCTTTCTGCAAATGGAGCGTGGACCTGGTTGGTTGACATTAACAATGAAACATTGAAGCCAGCTTCCTGGGATGAATTGGCCGATGAGAAGCCAAAACTTGATTCCTGCTCTGACATAACCATCTACGAATTGCACATTCGTGATTTTAGGTAAATTGTGCTGCTTGATTTACACAACTAAAAATCTGGCAGGGTTTATGCATATTCATCTTTGGAACTTACCTGTCTGTTTCCTGTGCTTTTCAATTATAGTGCCCATGATGGCACAGTGGACATTGACTCTCGTGGAGGATTTCGTGCATTTGCAAACTAGGTCTCCAAAGTTGATTTACTAGATGTATTGCATTGCCTTTTTTCAACAGTATCTCATGCTGATCGCATTTTGGAACCTGTGGTACATGCCTCAGTAGGAATGTTTAACTCATGTGCATTTGTTGCCAAGCTTTCATTTTGCTGGCGTTGATGACATTAAGAGCAACTGGAAATTTTTCGGTAAGGAATTTTTTTCTCTTTATAAAAGGTGGTAAGGCACTTTTGACTTTTGCTAGATGTCTATCATTTTTTTGTTGGATAGCAATGAGTGACAACTACTTATAAGTACTTGGTTTAAACTGCACCTCTTCATTTTCGTCTCATTTACTTCAGATTGACTTATTTGGCTATACGGAACTTCATTTACTCTGGCAGATGAGTGTGAACTACTACCTCTCTCTCGGTTTACAGGGCATGCACGTATCTCCAGGTCGTCAATTTGACCAACCTAATATAAATCATATATTATAAAAAATATACCAACATAAACTTCAGAGTTTCTACTTTCAAAAGATATAATTTTTGTGTTATCTAGTTTATATTAGGGTGATAAAATTGGCAACCTAGGCATACGCGTAGGACTTGTAAACTGAAACGGAGGTAGTAGCAACATTCCCTCCAGGATCAGATATGCAACAAGCAGCAGTAGTAGCTATTTGGGAAGAGGACCCTTTTAATTGGGGGTATTCATTTCACACTTCTTTTTCCCTCAAACATTCCTGATACTAATGTATCATGGTGGTGTTAATATCGGAAAGTTAATTATGTTCTTGCGAGTAAAATATTCTTACATATGGCCATATTTATGCTAAAGGTATGACTCTGTGCTTTGGAAGGTTCCAAAAGGAAGCTATGCAAGTGATTTCATCAGGAAAGAGATGCAGAGGAGAGGAAGAGAGCCTCCCCAAGCTCTGTCTAGGCGATGCACGGGCGACGGCCATCCTTCCTGTTATTGCCTCCATGGATGACTGGTCATC